ATTAAAAATTCAGAGTCTCAAGCCCCATCCCATACCGACCGAACCAGAATCTGCATTTTTAAAAAGAGTCCAAGTGATTCATAGCACATTAAAGTTAGAGAAGCACTCACGTAGAACATGAGGACTCCCATTTCTCAAGTTTATCAAACCCTGGAGAGCACTTCAGTTTTCTGGAATACACACTCCAATTGGATGATCTGGAACCATTCCTACTGGGGTTCACTATCCTATTATAAAAAGGGGGTAACAATACCTGCCTATCCTCCCTCACAGCATAAGTGTGAGTTTCAAATGAGATCATGGATTCATTCGCTAGCCACTCCTTGCGATGGGGCTGAATGTGGCTGGGGAGCGGGTGGGTAGCAGGTCGGGGGCAGTTTCTGCCCTCACGGAGCTGATGGTCTGGCAGGGTGGGGACGCATGTTGCAAATGCTGGTTGGCGTTGCGTGACTGTCATGGTAATCACAGGGCTTCATTCGCTTTTTCTTTTGCTCATTCATTCATTCAGCGGTCGGCCATTTATTAAAACGTAAATACCTGCACTATGTCAAGCGCGGAGCTGTGAGCTGGACACTGGGGAAGCAGAAACCCCATGTTCAAGGAGCTTTTAGTCTAGCCAGAGATAAAGACACATGAGCCAACGAGTCCGTTTAGAACACACTGTGGCTGGTGCTCTGAGGTCAGCGCAGGGGGCTGTGGGAGCACAGGTGAGGCAACAAGGAGCTTTGCTTTAAAGGAGGATGACAAGTTTGCTGGGTTGAGAAGGGCGGAAAGAACGGCAGGGGCAACGGCATGGAAGCGTGGAGGCCCAGCACACTTGCTCCATGACAGAAGGCAAGGAGAATTTGGAGGAGTGCCTAGAGATAATTGCGGAGAAGTAGCTGGGGGCCAGATCTTAGACACTAAGGAATTCTTTCTTTATCTTATAGGAAGTAGAATCCCTAAAGGAAGAGAATTGACACCATCATAGCTGCTCTCCAGAAGACCTTTTAACAGCAGCATGGAAGAAGAAATGACTTGAGGCAGAAAGACTTTTAAGAGGCTCTGACGATAGTTTGGGAGAGAGAGAGCCCAGTCCTCAGTGGGGGTAGTGGATGTGGGAGAAATTAAGGGAGGAAGCATTGACAGAACTCAGTGAGTGAATGAATGGGGTGGTGAAGAGAAGGGAGGTAGGACTCACAGATGCCTAGAGCTAAGGAGAGCGCCCCTGGCTGGACACAGGAATTTGGGAACTGTGGGGTGATGGGAGCCATGGGAGTGAATGAGATTGTGAGGGGGTGTGGGGTGGAAAGAGATTAGGGTTAAGAGTGGCACCAACATTTAAGGGATGGGCAGAGGCAATGAGTCCATGAAGGAAGTTGAGGGAGGCCAAGAGGCAGTTCTGGTTCCTGTGGTTCCATTGGGCATGGAGAGCAAACGCCTGGTGGCCATAGCTCATCACCTACCAGAATCAGCTCTAGGGACCACCCTGGGGTCTGCACCCTTGAAGCACCAGGGTGAGTGGGGGCTGGGTTGGGGCCCCTGAGAAGATGACTGAGACAGGGACACAGGGTAGGGCTTGTCTCCCCCTCCCTCGCTCTTTCCTCCACTCCCATGGTAATGTCCAGCCTTTTCACAAATCTGTTTTTTTCCCAAGAGAAAACCAAAAGGACATGACAGGAGAAACAAAAGAAATGCTTGAGTTTGTTTAGTTTTTCAGATCAGACAAGGACCCAGCACCTTCTAATACAGAAGAAAACCTTCCAGACTGTGTCCTAGGTTGACTCCAATGAGCTCATTCTCTCATTATCATTAAGAGCAAAGGGAGTCTGGTCCTATCATAATTAATCAAAAGATGATTTTACAAAATAAAAAAAGAGAGAGGAAATGGCCCCAGAATTGTGCTATTCTGATTCATGGTTTTCCATAGAAACAAGGCCTAGGGTTTTAAACTGATAATGGCTCTGAGCAGCCCAACAATCGATCCCTCTGGTGTTCTGGCTTTAAGCAAAAAGTGAACTGGCCTCTTTAGAAATGTTGGCAGCCTGGCTGGTCCATTAGTAAGACTGAAAAATCAAAACATTGACTGGAAAAGGCCATTATGACTGGGCTCAGCAGGAGTCATCGATAGATGACGTCATTTCAGAAATAAGCAAGCCAAGGTCACGAGGCCCTTGGGCAGGGTTAAAACACCTTTCATGGCCAGTCACCACGCTCTTTTGCAGATACTGAAGTCTGCAGGTGACACAGGGTCTGAGCCAGGACCCCCTTTCATTTGCTTTTTTTGCTCAGCCTGGTTTCAAGGGAGCCTGGGATGTTCAGCAGGTCATTAAGTTAAGCCCTTCAGGACTAGCCATGGGCACACCCTTAGATTCCCTTTTAACCCTTCCCCCAGCCCCCTCCTTCTCCTCCTCTTATCACACTCTTTATCCCAGGAGCACCTGTCCTGTCCCCAGCTCCTACCTCCCTCCCTCTCCCTTCCCTTCTCATCCAGGCTTTAAAAGCAGTTGTAGGCTCTCTCTCCACCTGTTCAGCTCCCATGAGCTCCTGCCTCTGCCTCTCACTAACACTAATAATATCACTGCAAGGTACAGGCTCTTGGGGTGGCAGGGAGTGGGGGGCCTGCATCGTCTCACCTGTCCCCATGGCAGCGCATATGAAATGGATATTGTTGTCTCCATCATACAGGGAGGATACTAGGGCTCAGACAGACGGGCCAGGTCACTGGCATATCCCATTTTTGAACCCTCTGCAAAGTCACCCATGACCCCTGCCAATTCTGATGGCCCCTTCCTAGTCCTCACCCGCCTCTGTCTCTCAGCAGCAACTTGGGAGAGCCGCCCACCTCTCTTCTCCCTTGGCTCTTGGGAAGCCACTTCCTCCCACTCCTTCCCCAACTCTTCACATGGTGGGTCTTGCTACAAAGTCCTTCAAGGGAAACTCCAAGCCGTCTTGATTCCGGGTCCACTAGAGACCATCTTGTCCAGCCCCTCATTGCTCAAGGTCACTCTGAGTGGTGGCAGAGCTGGGGCTGGAGACAGGTGTCCTAACCTCCAGGCCAGTCTACCTCTCACTGCTCAGAGCTGCCACTACCTCTGTGTTTTCTGTTTTCGCTGAGCTGCAAGAGACAGCCCTACCCAGGAGGAGGGAGAAGGTGTGAGACCCTGATAAGGTGGGGAGGATGCTATTTTTAGAGGACACTGGTTTTCCACTCAGGCTGGGAGGAGCTCAAGGGCCAATGACTTTCTAAAACGTGGGTTTGTAAGACTAGTTCGTTAAAGATAATACACCAAAGTGACAGTGTTTTGTTTTCACTCTCTGCTGGTGGGTTGTGTGGCTCAAGTTGATGGGAACTTTACCATTTGGCTCCATTTCTCCTTCTTTTATCTGTAAGGCTTTGAGATGGCTTTAGAGAAAACATAATAGAAAGTAAAGTAGAAACAAAAATGGAACTTCAGGATGAGGGCGCTATTGTCTGTGCCAGGGAAAGTCCTGGACAGCAGTGGATGGAAAGTGGGAAGACAAGGGCACGGAGACAGGTGCCCACAGAGCTCCAAGACCTGCCTGAGCAGCGGGAGGGGTCGGAAAAGAGAAGGGAAAGGCTGGCGGCGAGTGCAGACCTACCGCGTGTCCAGCAGTGTGTGACCTTGAGCAGGGGGCTCCACAGCCCTTCACAGAGGACAAAATGGCAGTCACCTCTGGGAGAGAGATGGGGTTTCTGGGGTCCCACTGAGAGCCCAGCACCTGGGTTCAGGGGCTGGTTCTGCGATTTGGGCACGGAAGAGCTTAAGCCAGGTGATCGCCAAGAGTCTCAGAGGGCGAAGGACGAGTGTCCCACACAGGGTCGCTCTAGCAGCGGCGGGCGAGGGGTGTGGTGGGGGCAGCGCTGCGCGGCTGGGAGGGCGCATCGAGAGGAGCCGAAGTATGGGCGGGGAAACTGGCCAAGGAGCGCCTGGACTGGAACCCCTAGCCCCGCACAGTTCACTGGTTCTAAAGCTGTGGGGGTCACATGCTGCTTTGCCAAGGCGAAGCCGTCTACGCAGCAGAGAAGTGCACATAAGCACCCCAAGGGTGCACTTCCTGGGGGTGTACGGCCCAGGGTACTCCGAGGTCCCTGGTGGGTCCCCGGATATGACTCAAGTCTGGGGGGCAGCCAGTCTCCGATGTCCGCAGCCCCTCCGGATGTGTGCGCGTGTGCCCCCGGCGTCCCTGGCCTCGAGCCAGTGAACAGGTGGGGGGAGCCCGGCCGCCCAAGAGCGCGCCCCGCTGCTCTCACGGCCCGGGCTCCTGCCTCCATCGCCGGAACCAGACCTCGCCCCTTCAAACAGGGAAACCGAGGTCCAGAGAAGGGAGGGTGCTTGCCAAGGCCATCCCCTGACCTGGCGACAACAAGAGGGCTCCTGCCTCCACGCTCTTTCCAGCTGTCTGGCCGCGTAACGCGTGTCGTGGCGCTTTAAACCTTGTCTCCAGCAGTTTGGGAAACTTTTCCTGCCCCAACCCCGCGCGGCGCGAACCCGGCTCCACATCCACCGGAGCCCTTCCGCCCCCTCTCCCACCCCCAGACTCTGACAGGCGGAGCAGAGGCTGCGCCCCGGCCCGGCCCGCGCCGGCACCTGTACCCAGCGGAGCGCCCCGCGGGTGTGGAGCCGCGCGGCGCTCGAGTCCAGCGGAGGCGCCCGCTCCTCCAGGACCCCGGCCCTCGGGGCGTCCCCTCCAGAGCTCCGGCTCCTTCTCGCGTTTACAGACCCGGCGCGAAGGTCCAGCGCAGAGGGCGCCCCGGCCAGGGCCGCGCGCGCTGGGCGGCGGGGACCGGAGCGCCGGGCGCCGGACCCCGAGACCCGGGCTCCCCAGCCCCGGAGGCAACCCGAGGCGGCAGCTATTTATAGAGGGAGCCACGCTCAGTCCCTCTTGGCGGCGGCGGCGACAGCTGAATATTTTGCCCAGATATGGCTGAGGCCCCGGCGCGGGGGCAGGGAACCCCGCGAGCGCGAGGGGGACCCCAGGCGGGGTGGGGGGCTTACCGGCACGCAGAGCTGCGGGGCCGGCGCGAGCGCGGGCGGCGGGCGGATGGGCGCGGGCGGCGGCCGCGGTGCTCGGGCGGGAGGAGGGCGGACGAGCGAAGCGCGGGGCTGGACAAGCTCTCGGACGGCCGCGGGCGGGCGGGCGCTGTGGGCTCCGGGGGTGGGAGCCAGGGGCGGGCCCGGCTTGGTGCTGTCACCGCGCCCCGCCCCGCCGCCGCCTTCTCCCTCCTTCCCTCCCCCTCCGCTCGGGGGCGCCGGGGCGCAGAGCACCGACCCCGGTCCGGGAGCGACACTTGCGGAGGGGAGCGCCAGGGAGTCCGGCTCCGCAGCCAAGTGAGCGCCGGTCGCCCTCTGTCCGAGTCTCGGTTTTCCCAATCGTACCAGGGAGAGTTTAAGAGACGGTAGTGTTATCTGGGAAAAGGTGGGTAGATTTGCATTCCTGAGGGGTCTAGAATTTAAGCCTCTGAGAATCAGAAGTACTCGAAAGTGATGGAACGAAGCCAGCTAAGCAGCTCCTGCACCTTTACCTCCTTCGACTGAAGCAAAGCTCTGTCCCAGCTTCCCACAGCCCCGCTAGGTCTGGCATGAGCCGAAGCTTTAATAACAATCGTTTTGCCAACGTGTTCTAACAGAGTCGAGTCGAAGGCATTCTCTCCACACTACGAGAGAGTGGAGTGTCTAATAGAACGACTTAAAATAACAGCAAAAAGTTCCACCTTCCTAAAAGGCTATATGTTTTCCAGAACCAACCACTTAAACCCAAATGGCTCATACAAAGGAATTTGTATCGACATAGGGAAACGTCTCATTTTGGATTATTATGGGGAAGTTTTTGGTGGAGTAAATTCTAATAAAATCAATTCTTTAATCCTGGTGTATAGATTATTAATGAGAAACACTCGTTAAAAAATCTTGTTTTTCAAGAAAATGTATTCCTATAAAACCCTCACAGATGTAAGAGAATGCTCTTTTCAAGGGGTGCCATACATTTCAAAAATAAGCAACGGTTTACTATTTCAAATTATTTTAAAACGTTTTTGTTGTGAATCCAACCTATAAGAACATAGAACGTATGTTGTATGTCATATGTACATGCAACATAAACATGCAGCTTCATAACTTTTTATAGTGTGAATACCTGTGCGACCACCACTCAGTCAGGAAACACTGACAGCTGCCCAGAAGCCCACCTGTCCCTCCTGGGTCACAACTCCCTCCCACGTTCCCTCCCTCCCTCCCTCCCAAAGATGTTCACTTTCTTGTCCTTTATGGTAATCACATCCTTACTTTCCTCCACCCTCTGTAGTTTGTCTTCATTTGCTTAACTCTATATTGGGCGATTAATCTGTGATGTTTCATGCAGCCGTAGTTCCCTCTCATTGCTACAGAGTTTTCCATTCTATGAATATACCACAACTTAAAAAAAAATCAGTTTTACTAAATGGACATTTAGGTTGTTTCCAGGTTCCAGCTATTACAAACAGTGCTGCTGTGAACATTCTATGCCAGAATCCTCCGGTACAAGTGCACACACTGCTGTTGGAAGTGCTGGGTCACAGTACCATTTTACGCAGCGGTTTCACATTTTCAGTGACACTTGGATTTAACAAAAATTGAAACATTGGAGCCATTGCAGTCTATGAGTAATTTTTCATCTCATTGAGGTTTGAACTTCCATTTCCCTACGTGCTAATGGGTTGAGCTCCTTTTCATCTCTATTGGCCAGTTGGATGTCTTCTTTTGTGGAGTGATTGTTCAAATTTATTGTCCATTTGTCTTCTGGAGAGTCTTTTGTTTATGGAATGTATTCAATAGTCTGTGTGTGTCCATTTCCTCAACTGTATTCTTTTATTTTGTGCTTTGCTTTTTCACCTTATTAATGTCTTTTGTTGAATAGGTGTTCTAAGTTTTCACAGTCTATTAATATTTTCCTTTATTGGTGGCACTTTCTGTGTCCTATTTAAGAACCCTTTCCTGTTCCTGAGTCATACAGGTACCTTCCTACAACACCTTCCTACCTTAGCCTTTCATGTGCAGGTTTTCAATACACCTGGCAGTGCCTGTGGAATATGGTACAGAGTTGGGGTCATGTTTCCTTTGTTTGTCACACTGTCCCAGCACTATATTAATCTTCCTGTTACATCAACAAACACAATAAATTGTTTTATTTTAAAAAGTAATAGAAACATTTCTAAAGTCAGTGCAATAGAAACCACTTCTTCCTTACTTGTAGACAATTTGAGGATTTTTGCTTTTTTTTCTTTTAGGGAAATAAACCAGTATAAAAAACATTTATACTTTATTTCAGTTAAGCACTTCTATGTCAGGATATTTTTATTTCATCATAAGTGATTAATCACTGGCATTCAGTATTCCTGAATTTTGAATCACTTTAATTGTAAATATTAAATGAGTTTTAAAAAGCTAGAGGGATAATTTTGACATGTTTAAAATGAAAAACTTAAAACATCTGGTCTTTACCATCCTCTGTTCTCATTTTTCCTAGATTTTCTCAAATGAAAATAAGGAAATGATTCAAGAATTTTTATCTCCAGCCTTGTTTTCTCCCCTGAAGTCCACCCCATATCTCCAATAGTATACGCCTATCTACACACAGAAGTCTACCCATTAGCTCAAATCATTCAAGATCAAATTTTTAAGCTTCCCACTCACACTGAGTAAGGTTTGTCATCCTAGGCTCTCAAATCTTAAGACTTGGCTGTCTGTCCTAATAATTCTAATGAAAAACTTCAAAAAGTTGTGTCTTCATTCCCGTTGCTCCACTCTTAGTCCAGAGCCTCCCCACCTCATCTCTGGACCACTGCTAAAGTCTGCAACCTATCCATCTGCCAACCCTCTACTCACCAATTAGCAAGCACACAACGAGTGCCTGACATGTGCAAGATGTCATGGTGCCTGTTTCCTGTTGTGGATGCTATGGGCAGTGGTGTGCTCGAGTCTGTCATACGGGTTTCAAGAGCTGCTTAAGTGCATTTTTTCCCAACTCCAAATTCAGTGATGTCACATTATCAGGTGGAAATCAACATTGGTGAGACTATTGATAACATGGGAATTGTCAAATACTACAAATCAAGGCTCACCTCCCCACCCAACAAAACCAGCTGTCAAACATTTACCAACATCACTGGATAAAGAGATGACTGAGACCCATACCTCCCTCAAGGGGCCCACAATTTAGCTGGGGTGATTGGTGCACAGACAACTAGTTATATACTACAAAGCACAACTAAGGTAAGGGCACCAAGGTAGACATAATCAAAGTACAGTGGAGTAGAAAGGAGCACCAGGGAAGGCTTCAGGGTCAGCCTGGGAGGTCAGGTAGGGTCCTGACAGGCAAAAATGGTGCTGGTGGGGAGAATGAGTTGCAGGCTGAGAGAGCAGGTAAGTGAGGTTTGGACAGGAGCAAGACTTGCTTTAGAATGTCAGTAGTCCTAGATGAACATGTATGGGGTTCAGTGACCAGATAAAGGTCCAGTGAGGCAGGTAGTGGTGGACAATGTGGTTGGCTAGGGGATTTTAGAAGGCCTGGGTTTTAGGTCTGGACTCCCTGGGCAATAAGAAGCCACTCAAGATTTGGGGTGAGGAGCATGCTGGTTTGCCTGGCTGCTCCTCTAGCAATGCTGATGTGCTAAAGCCCGAGGCTAAATCTTCACATGCTTTGGTGATCACTTGCTTTGGGATACACCACTACATCAGGGTAGAGTTAAGTCATAAAACTGTCAGTTTAACTGGAGAACAACTCAGCACTACAAGGAAGACAACATGAATGTAAAAGGAAACTTTCATCTTAAGATCATAAAGCCTAGAAATTACAAGGTAGTCAGGTTTTATATTGATAAACATTTTTATTCTAATATTATAATAATAATTCAAGTTTAATTCTCTTTTCAAAGTCAACTCTGTTAAAACAAAACTCGTTAAATATCTTTTGTCTAACTTAAGCATATTCTTTTCAATCCCCCACAGCAGTCAGAGCCATGTAGCAGAAATAAGATTTTTTAAAAAGCCTACTACATTATGTTATTGCTAAAAAATCTGAATTAGTTGTCAAGGTCTCAGAAGCAATGATTAATTAAATTTTGAAAGCTCAACCAGGTACTCCGACATAAAATCATGAATCCAGATATCAGTGTCTGGCAGTGATGTGTCCACTAAATAGACCACTACTTTCTGGTCCCAAGGGTTAGTGTTTTCAATAACTGTCTGCACCAGTGCCACCAGAGGTTTCTTCTCCACATGATTTCGAAACACCATTGAAGCCTCCTCAGACCACTGGTTGCACTTCACTCCTAGGAGAAAGAGAGGAAAGGGAGCAGTGAGGGGTCAAAGGAGCCTTTCTTTGATCCATTATAATGGAAAGCTATTTACGCAATTCCAAGGTAGCTTAAGCATCCCAGGTTAGACTTGCCTAAGCTGAAAAACAGTTGCTGAGCAATCTAAAAAGTCCAGCTTACAGTTTTTCTACTCTGAATGAAGTCACGTCTGTAAGCTTTTACATACGGACACAAGTTTCAGTTGCGATTTAACGCTGTATTATAAAATGAGGTAATAATGACTACTGCACATTTCCTGTATATAAAATATATGCAGATTTAAACTAGTAATTGAGATAGCTGGAGGAATAAAATATCAATATCAATGATATTAATGACAGTTCTCTTAAAAGTTTTTTTTCCTTAAGGACCAAATATAGTAAAAATAATTGTTGTATGATTTCTTTATGGTGTAATTTTTCAAAATTATACACAGCACCATGGAAAAAGCACTGGATTGAAAGTCAGGAGACTCAGTTACTATTTCCAGCTCTTCCCTATCAGGTGGTATGATCTTGGGGAAATCAGTTGATCTCTCAGGTCTCACTTATCATAAAAGAAACTCATTGAACCAGATGAATTTTAAGCGCCACGCATCTCTAAATCTCTACAACTTTCAAACTTGAGAAATCAGATTAGATTTTAAAACAAAATTGAGGCATGAACATATATTTTTCAAGAAATATTATTAAACTAATATAAATTAACTCCACATATACTGGATTAGACAAACAATAAATTAAGCCCCAAAGGAATGAAGGTCTAGGAGTTTTAGACATAATCTTGGAAGATTTTCTATGTATTATAGTGAGTGGGCTAAATTCCTTGATTATTAAGAATTTCCCACAAGAGAAGGCTAAAATTCTCATTTTATCTCCAGCAGCCCTGACGATTTTTGAGTCATGTTATTTAGCAAGGAAAAAGGTAATCTTTCTATAGAGCTTCATCAGTAAGGTAAGAGATGACCCCACAGTATGGCTCCCTTACTTATATGATCTAGGAAATTGTGTGCAAAGCCACAATGCAAAGAATGCTCATGTCAAGGTCATATGTAATGAAGCAACAGCTCACTGGGAACCTTGAGAGGGTAATCATCCAGTGACACTATTTGTGAGTGGGTAAGGGTTAATCCCAAGGTCCCTAGAGAATCCTTAAAGCATTCTAATTTAAACACTCCCATGAGTTCCACTTAGATTCCATAGAGTTCTATGGATCTAGGGATATTACCAAATATTTCAAAGGGCTTGGCTGGATGACAACAAAGTCTACCAAAGTGATGACTCCAATGGCCACGTCACAACAGGTGGCTCCCATGAATTTCCAGTCTATGTCACTGCTCTCTCTTGTGGATGTCTACATTGGAGCAAGGGAGATGGACTCTCTATCACATATAGTTCCTGTGCATATGTTTTCAATTGATTTTTTTTTTAAAAGCGGTGGTTCTCCCTTCATGATGAGTAATCTGATGCCCAGGTAGATTTTTGCAAATTAAGAGCAAGTCAACAGGAAGAAAGAAGGCTTGGCACAGGTGAGGCTGGAAAAGGAAATGAGGTCACAGATGGGACCCAAGAGCAACACTATGTTTCTAGACATTAGTATACAAAGAAATATTCATGCATTTGTGCTACATGTTTTAGTTTAAAAGGTGATTTCATATTCACTTTCTCATCTGATCCAGGTATTAGCTTATGACAGGGATTTGCTAGTCATTTTATAAATAATTATGGGGTAGATTGAGAAGTTAAGTGACTTGAATTCAGGCCTTTGACTTCAAAACAACACTTTCACTCTGAGAAGGAAGTATACAGCGAAGAAGGCATGCACTGGAGAGGCAGACTGCTGGGTTAAGGCTGTGGGGGTCTTGGGCAAAATACTTAATTACTCTAAGCTGCTGTTTCCCGATCCGTAGGATAGTTATAGTAATAGTACCTAACCTCCTAGCATGGGGAGAATTCAATGAAATAAAGTGGCTGGTAGACTTCTGCCTCCCAGTCCCCCACCACCCACATACATACCTTGCCACTACATATTAAAGGCCTATTTACCCAGAGTTCCTTTACCCAGTACATCATGTCCACCTTTCAACAAAAAACTAAAAGTGATACTAAAGGGAAAAACACAGTTTGAAGAGAATGAGCAAGCATCAGAATCAGAGTCAGATATGGCAGGAATGTTGGAATTACCAGACTAGGAATTTAACACAACTATGATTAACATAGTAAGGGCTTTCGTGGAAAAGCAGACAAAATGTAACAGATGGATAATTTAAGCAGAAAGATGGAAATTGTAAGAAAGAATCACACATAAATGCTAGAGACCAAAAATACTATAACAGAAAAGAAGAATGCCTTGATGGGCTCATTAGAAGACTGGACATGGCTGAGGGACAATCTCTGAGCTTAAAGCTACAACAATAGAAACTTCCAAAACTGAAAAGCAAAGAGAAAAAGGCTGAAAAAAAAAAAAAAACCAGAACAAGATGTTAAAGAATATGAGACAACTACAAAAGGTATAACATATGCATAATGGGAATAACAGATGAGAAAAAAGAGAGAAAGGAACAGAAACAATATTTGAAGCAATAATGACTACAAATTTTCCCCAAATTAATGTCAGACACCAAACCACAGATCCAGCAAGCTCAGAGAACATTAAGAAAGATAAATGCTCCCCAAAATACATCTAGATATATCATATTCAAACTTTAGAAAATCAGAGATAAACAAGAATCTTGAAAGATGCCAGAGGAAAAAGACACTTTACCTATAGAGTAACAAAGACAAGAATGATATCTGACTTCACAGATGACTTCTTCACAAGCAAGAAAAGAGTAGGGTGTTGAGAGAAAAAAACTCACCAAGCAGAATCTTTACCCTATGAATTTATCCTTCAAAAGTGAAGGAGAAATAAGGACTCCTGGACAAACAGAAACTGGGAGAGTTTGTTGTCAGTGGACCTGCCTTGGGAAAAATGTTAAAAGAAGTTCTTCAGAGAGAAGAAAAATAATATAGGTCAGACACTTGGATCTGTATCAGAGAATGAATAAGTAAAGGTAAATAAAACTTACTTTTCTTACTCTTAATTGATCTAATAGATAAGTTTTTTAAAAATAATAATACCAACAATGTATTTGATTATGTATGCTTGTGTGTGTGTGTGTGTGTGTGTGTGTGTGTGTGTATAATATATGCTTATACATAAGCGAAATGAATGACTGTAATGATACAGAGACAAGAAGAAGGAATTAAGGTTATTTTGTTATTATAAGGTACTCATACCACTTGTGAAACAATATAATTTTATGTGAAAGTGGACTTGGATTAGTTGTATATTGTAAACTATAGGACAACCACTAAGAAAAGTAAAAAAAAGAGATATAATTGATATGATAAAAAAGGAAAGAAAATGGAATAACAGAAAATGCTTAATTAAAACCACAGAAAGCAGAAAAAGTGTGGAAGACAAAAATAAGAACAAAGAGCAAGGTCAACCAATGGAAAATGGAAACAAATATGACAGATATTAATCCAACTATATTAATAACCACTTTAAACATCAATAGTCTAAATATACCAATTAAAAGAGATTGTGAGAGTGAATAAAAACATAAGACCCAACTATATACTGTCTACAAGAAACCCACTTTAAATATAAAGATACATACAGAGTAAAAGTAAAGGGATGGAGAAAGATATACCATGTTAATCCTAATTAAAAGAAGGTAGAAGTAGGTGTATTAATTTCAGACAGAGCAGACTTCAGTACAAGCAAAGTTATCAGGGATAAAGAGGAGGCTGGGTGTGGTGGCTCACTCCTGTAATCCTAGCACTCTGGGAGGACAAGATGGGAGGATCGCTTGAGCTCAGGAGTTCACGACCAGCCTGAGTAAGAACAAGACGCCATCTCCACTAAAAATAGAAAAATTAGCCAGGCATGGTGGTGTGCGCCTGTAGTCCCAGCTACTCAGGAGGCTGAGGCAGGAGATCACTTGAGCCCAGCAGTTTGAGGTTGCTGTGAGCTAGGCTGACGCCACAGCACTCTACTCGGGGTAACAGAGTGAGACTCTGTTCCAAAAAAAAAAAAAAAAAAGAGGAACATTACATAATGGTAAAGAGGTCAATTCTCCAAGAAGACATGACAATACTTAATGCATATACACTTAACAATAGAGCATCAAAATACATGAGGCAAAACCTAACAGAAATGCAAGGAGAAACAAATGAATGTACTATCATAGTTGGAGACTTTAATACCCCTCTATCAAAAATGGACAGATCTAGCAGGCAGAAAATCAGTAAGAACATAGTTAAACTCAACAGTACTATAAATCAACAGGATATAATTGCCATCTATAGACTACTTCAACAACAGCAGATTATATATTCTTCTCAAGCTAACATGGAATGTTCACCATGACAGGACAAATTCTGGGAAATAAAACATACCTTAACAAATTTAAAATACTAGAAATCACATAATGTATGCTCTCAGACCACGGTGGAATTAATAGAATTGGAAATCAATAATAGAAGGATAGCTGGAAAATCTGCAAATACTTGGAGATTACACAACACAATTCTAAGTAATACATAGGTCAAAGAAGAAATCTCAAGAGAAATTTAAAAATATCTTGAGCCAAACGAAAATGAAAATATAGCATAACAAATCAAAATTTGTGAGATGCAGCAAAATTTCTGAGATGTAGCAAAAGCAGTGCTAAGAGGGAAACAGATAGCACTAACTACATGGATTAGACAAGAAGAAAGATCTAAGGTGGCTTGTAGGGTCCCTAGCACACAGTAAGCACAGTAACTGTTAGCCACAATGCCGGTGATGGGGATGATGGTGCCTGTACTCATTCCTCACTGAGAATCCTTCTTTGGGCAGTCTGTCATGCTTAACAAAACATGTCGTTAGCAAAACCAAAACATTAAAAAGTTCAAATGAAAACAAGTAACTATTAAATCTGAAGACATTACTCAGAGGTTTCAGTCCAAAGCAGACTAACTGGTGGCCATGCCATGTATAAAGTGCCATTTTTGCTTTATATCCAATTACCCTGGGAATTTCCTTTGAATTCTAGTAAGAAGACACAGTGAAACTGGCAAATATTTCAAAATAAAGCAATATAAGCCTTCTAATAAAAGCCTGTCAGTAAGTAAAAGAAGAATCTATATACATAATTTCTTTCATTACTGAGATAAATCACTTCTGTCACTATGTTCGAGATATGGGGTAAGCAGGGCTGAAGACTGTGGGCAATAGCAAAGGGATCAGGATGGCACCACGTGGCCATGACTCCCCATATCCCAGTGTGTCAGGACACAGAGAGCCCAGGTGAGTGCCTTCTGGCCTCCACGCCCTCAGCTAATGCTGACAGGCCTCTGGGTGGAGCTTCATCCAACTGCTCATGCTACCTAATGGCAGGGTGCTCACAGGGGAATCACCAACAGTTGTATTGCTTTCACAAAGATAAAAGGGAAACCTCATTAGACAATATTACAAAGAGTTATCTTTGTATGGCTATTAAATTAGCTCCTCAAATTTTAATGATAGTCCAGAGGCTGGTGTGAATGTGGTAAAATTGTACTCACATGACTTTAGCTGTGATGTAAACGAGAAACTCACTTGGCCTTGAAAATGGTCATATTCTCTGATCCAAGAATGTTTTATGATTGTGTAATACTCCATTAGGTCAAAGTATTAAAATTTATGCAATAAATAACTTACACAATAACAATAATGAAATATTATCCTTCTGTTCCTGTTGACTATTTAGGTTGTTTCCATTGCTTTTTGTTTGTTTTAGCTAGTATACATAGTTGCAGAGTTTTTCTTAACATACAATGAAAAGTATAAACAACCTAAATGTTCAACAATAGGGAAATAAGAATAAAATGGCATATTTTGTCCATTAAAAGTAACAAGCAAAACCATGAAATGACCGCCAAGAAGTAGTTAGGGAAAAAAATGCTAAATGAAGAAAGGCAGAATGCAATATTATACCTGTGCTAAGATTATAGCTTTAAGAATATACTCATACATTAATTCAGAGACAGAAAGGAGTAGGGAAAATATAAACAACAGATATAATAGTAGAGCATGACTCTAAGAGATCATTGAAATGATTTCTATTATGATCGGGATGTTATTAGTGAAAAAAACAAACTCAATAGGCCATTAATTCAGTAACTTGCTAAGTACTCAGGACAAAATGACAACATAAGCTATACTGCAGCACGAGTTCCAGTTCCACAGAAATTACCTGCAAGTTGAGCTGTGACTGCCTGGAAGGGCAGCTTTCGGAACAGATCCACCAGGGGCTGTACTTTTCTTATGTTGACTAACTCATGCTTGCCATAGTCCAGCTCATACACGGAGACTAGTCCATTGGTCAGGATTCCTTTTAGAAGCACCCTGTACCACCTGGATGTGCATTGGATTAAAAAGAAACAGAAAACACACAAAGTCAACACTTGCTTTAAGGGTAACATCTTATGATAAAAAGAAAAATTAATGCAAATGATGGTTATCAAAACACAAAACTATATTGTCATAGAAGTTTTTAAAGCAATTGCTGCTTCTTTTCCCACTGGCTCATTTGATAGAATCTGCTCATTCAAGAGGCTTTTACGGGTCTCACGAAGCTAGTGAAGGAAACAGACACATAAACTGCCAACTGTCATGATGCAGAATGAAACAAATGCCATGGAGGATGATGAGGACAAAGCCAGGGGATCCCTTCACTGTGGGGAGACAGAGGATAGCCACATATTTGGCACACAGTACTTGGAAGATGGAAAGACAGAGGCAAGCAGGGCCAGCTGCGGCTGGAGAAATGCTTGAGAAGAAAGCACAGAAGACTGTAGAGGGCATGGTGGTGGCAGCAGAGCGAACACTCCAGTATAAAGGGTGGAATGTGTGGGGAAATGGAAGAGAAATTCAGACCGGGAAGGCAGCTAGGGAGAGAACAAAACAGTTTTGAATGAAAAGTTGACAATTTTAATCATGCCAAGTAAGGACATTACAAAACAAAACAAAAATCCAACCCACCACCTAAAATAGGAACTTGGAAAGGGTAGGAGAGTATGGGGGAAGAAGAGGAGCGTGGTTTTAGATCTGGAGCTCCAGACACCAGAAAGAAGTTCACACGAATATACTTTTCCCCTCTGGGGCTACATCAACATCATTAAAATGAGGAAAAATCTAGACATCAAGGCTAATATATGAAGGATCATTTTAAAGTTTATAGTCTCAATTACATGATTAAAAAGTATTACTACACCAAGGAAATGAAGATCGTTCATAATGGCTAAAAGGAAAGTATCTTGGAGGTGATTCCTGCTCCTGAATGCTGTTGAATTGGACTCCACTGCAGATGGCAGGTTCAGTCATTCCCTGGAACAGGTTTATCAGCCATAAGCCACAAGCCCAGTGGAATAGCAGGCACTGTGCTGCAACACACTGCTGCGCCGGGGCTGGCCAGACTGGACCGCTTCTCCAGCCAACGAACCCCTAGCAGAGAATGGGTATAGGAAACACATTCAACTGCTATAGGGTGAACTACCATGAGAAATCTATGAAGGGGTCAACTTTAAAAACTTTTAACACTGTATATGACTGGGCCCCTTGACTGAATCCAAACTTTATATAACAAATCCCTTTAATCAAAGGATTTGTTCTGTAAAATTTTAATTCAGTCAAAAGGCCACACTCAAGGATCCAGAAGGCCACATGTGGCCCCAAGGCCACAGGTTCCCCACTCCTGGACTGGGGGCTTCTGAGTTAATTTGAGAAACCTTCAGACAGGCTCAAAGTGCAGCAAGAAATGCTCCATGCATCCCAGAGATAACTAGAACACAGAAAGGATGCATAATAAGTACATGAACTTTGGGGACCAAACAGACCTGAGCTAGAGTCCCCACTTGGGCCATTTTCCATTTGTGTCACGCTGGGCTCTTTATTTAAAACCTCTCTGAACCTCAGTCATCTCATGTGTAATATTTTAATTCACATGTAGAAATAATGTGTGAAAAGTGCCTAGCACATTACTTGGTTTATAATAGGTACTTGGAAAATGGTAGCCATCATCATGGTTACTAAAATGAAGATTAGCTATATAACTAAGAACTTCAGACCAAACTGAAGAGAAATTTTCACGTGTGGAAATGCCAGTTTGGTACAGGTTGCTAATTTGTGTAAGTGCAAAAGGAAATGAAACCACCAATAGCATCATCTTTAAATCATACAGGGCAACAGGATCGTGGTCCGTGTTTTTAGTCCATAAATAAGAGGTACAGAGCAGCGAAGAAAGAGTCATCAGAAAATTGATCTGTAGTATTTCTATTTAACTTTCAATTTTCAAAACTAGTAACTTAAATAAAGGCTTCAGTTTTGACCAGATTACCAATTTCACTGCAGGCATCACCTGGAGTTTGTTAAAAACACAGATTTTGGGGCTTCAACCTCAGAGATTTCAGATTCAGAATGCCTGAGGTAAGGAAGGAGAATCTGCATTGTTAATAAGTTTTCCGATTATTCTTATGCTGAGATAGATTTGGAAACCTCTGTAATAAAAAAGGTATCTGAAATTCCTAAGTCTTAACTTACCATAGTTGGGAACAAAATTTAGTAAAATATTAATAGTCCTGAGTTTTAAATAAGCTCTAAACACTTTATATTGATTCACTTCATGAAGTTTAAAAAAGTATCAGATAATTTGTTCTTATAATACAATACATCCCTTGATTATCTGGGACAAATTAACTGGTTAAAGCCCAAGAGTCCTGGGGCAGAGCTGTTCAACCCATGAGGGTGGGTGGGGAGTGTGAGGCCCACACTGTAGGTCTCCAGTTCATGGGTCCTCCTCCTGCACACAAGCTCTTTCCTCCTCGAGGGAACGCCTCACTATCGATCATCATTATTCTGCCCCCCAGATGATGGGTAGCATGAATTTGGTTTTAACTGTGATTGAATTATCCTGCAAAGAGTTCTTATTGATGAAAATTTACACAAATTGAATTAAACCCATTTATGCTTATGGTTGTAAATAACACAATATAGCAAAAATGGTTTTTTAAAGATGAAAATCTTGCAACATAGAAGTATGCCTTTCAAAATGAGAGCTATTATATTTTTCACTTTTTTTATTTTTGGGACAAGGTCTTGCTCTATTGCCTGGGCTAGGGTATAGTGGTGTCATCATAGCTCACTGCAGCCTCCAACTCCTGGGCTCACTTATTCTTCCGGCCTCCGCCTCCAAAGTAGCGGGGACTACTGTCCGGCTAATTCTTTTACTGTTTGTAGAGACTAGATCTCACTATTGCCCAGGCTGGTCTCAAACTCCTGGGCTCAAGAGATCCTCCCACCTGGGTCTCCCAAAGTGCTACTAGGAGTATAGGCATGAGCCATCGCATCTGGCCACTTTTCACTTTTGAGAGTTAAAAATTAGGCTTTTTTCTCCCACGAAAATGACAAAATTTTATATATGCCTGTTTGATATCTCAAGAAAGAAAGAAAGCATTCCATATAAAAAAAGTAGTTTGACCTTTTAAATTGAGTTTTGAGGGGAGTGTGTGTGTGTGTGTGTTTGGGAGGAAAATAATTCTTTGTGTTCAGCAACAACAAACTCATTCATTTCTCCTATGAAAGTTGGCAAAGGGACAGGACAGGAGCAATTGTGACATTTCCCAGGGCTTCAAGGCTTGAGTGGAGAGTGGAATGCTTGGGCTTCACTGGATGGAACCACAGTATGAGGGGCTTTGGGGAGGAGAGCATGGATTCAAATGTTAAAATATTAGAAAACAGACCAAAGTGCTAAACAAAGTATGGTTCTCCCAGTTCCAAGGCCAAAAAGTAGTGGAATATGCATTGTTACTCCTTATAAAAGGTAGCACACTGCTAGGATACAACTGACAACATAAAGCAAGAATTTTGTCATCTTTCAGCAAGTAATTTCTCTTTTAGGAATCTATCCCATGAATAATCAGAGATGCAAACAAAGATTTATGTTCAACATTATTTATAATAATGAAAAATATGGGAGAAAAAAACCCTACATAACAAAAGAGAATTATAAGTAAATTATGATTTCTCCATATGATGAACTATCATTTAATCATTAAAAAGGTTTGTGAAGAAACTTTATCACATGGAAAAATGTCCACAGCATAATGTCAGGTAAAAAAAGCAGGTACAAAATTATACATACTAATAATATACCAACTATACAAATATGCATGGATAAAAACTAGAAGAAATACATAAGTAGTTCAATAAGTGTTATGCCTGGCTTGTTGATTTTAATTTCTTTTCGCATTTTCTAAATTTTCCACAATGAACATTTTATTTTTAAAATAAAAAGTAATTAAATGAAAAAACATGGCTATTTTCTGAATAAAAAATATTTTTCTAATGGAAAAACATCTAAACCTTCATTTTAGGTGTATAATCAGGTTTTAACAGGAATATGGTTTCTAGATTTTTAGATAAATGACATCATTTTAAATATTAGAAAACTGAAAAATTCATTGGTTTTGTTTCACACTCAAAATTCCCATTCATGCAGCTCAAAGTCCCCCTGTTGAGATTAAGACTCTTGATATCACTTTACACATTTTTCATAGGAGTAGAATAAAATGCTTTGTCCAAGAACCTACTTATTTTCCACTTTTGCAGCATACACTTGGTCTTTTTCCACCGCTATGTGGCGCTCTTCAGACACACTGTAATACAGAATCATCTCTTCCATCAGAACTTCCAACTTATGTATCTCCTGCCAAGGCTGGATGACAAAGTAGCCTGGGTGACAGGCCACGGGTACATACACATCCATGTGTTCCCCTGGCTTTGATAAGACCACAGGGGGTGGAAGTTCCTCCAAGGAGAAAGAGTTGGTATGGTCCACCACGGACTTTTTGATGACATCTGTGAGGCTCTTTCTGAAATTCTGTCCAGTGTTGCCTGACACAAGTGTGTTGCCTGACATGGGCATGTTGCCATTTTTGCTAGGAGAACTAGCTCCACTGGATATGGCACTCAAAAACACATCCTTTTGATGTTTCCACAAGTCTGCATTTGTAATCTGGCGGTTAATACTGCGGTGAGGATCGGGGAAGTTCTTAGGAGTAAATAAATAAACGTGTGCAATCCCTCTGGTTTCATCCACTTTCGTAACCTTTGGAAAACACAAAAAAACAATTCAAGGAATCCAAGTTCACATTGAATTCTGAGAGGCAGTTATATTAACCCTAAATATTAAAACACAGTATTTTTCAAAAAACCCCCCAAACTTGCTAACATTCATTTTATTTAAGTAAAGATAAATTATCTATCACAGCTTAGCAATAAATTGGCTCCTAAGTCAAACTAGTCTAGAAAACAGTGCAACCTGATAGAAATGAAAAATTTACTAACTTTTAAAAACTGAGAAGACCTTATAGCTTACTACAGGTCATTATCACTGAGAAAGGAAGTGATTCTATATATCATGATCAAAAGTTTTTTATTAATGACATTTCAAAACACTCAAAGTAGAAACAATAGTATATTGAGCCCCAAGGGCTCATTGGCCAATATCAACAATAAAAAAAATAATCACAATGATGGGAAAACATTCTCCAGGCATTCTGCTTAAGGCTGGTGCACCCTCAGACTGCGAAGGGAAGGAAAAAGTGTTGACATCCACCATATCCTTAGGCACCTCTGGTTCAAATTCCTTGTAGGGTCCTAGCATATGTCCTTCCCCTCCCCTCCTCCCCAATTACATGGGAGGAAAAGGACTTTGGGGAGAAAAAGAGGAAGAAAGCTCCACTGAATAGGCCCAAATTGCAGTTTTACAAACCGTTTGCCCAGGAGACCTTCTGACTACCTACCTCTGTTCTTTCTGCCCAAGGGGTTTTTGTATGGAATTACCATACATTGATATTTGGGATTGTACTGCCATGTGTCCCATAGGGCAAGGTGGCTGTTAATTATTCTCATCAGCAACTCTGGTTTATTTTAGGAATGACAAAAATAAGACACTTACAGCCACACCTATCTTTTATCAAACAGGGCTAGAAATGAAAGGCAGGAGCACAGCCATAAAGAGAGGGAGAAAACAGCAAGGAAGTCCATCTACTTAAAAAAATTTTTTTCCTACCAAAATGAATCTTTTTAAATTCATCCTTTGAAGTACTAATGAAATACTGACTGCTAATTCATTTTGATATTTATGATAAAGAAGTACAATTTTAAAAACTAACAGTTAAAAAGTATTTTTATTGAGTACCCAATATTCTGGCTTCAGGAGCTTAAAGGGTATCTGAGAAAATATTAATAATATTTATTATGTGACAATTAAGGAATATAAAATAGTACATACTTAAGCATGTAACTGTACACTATAAACCCTAGAGGAGAATAAAGATAGCAAAATCAGTGTTAGTTAGAATAATAATTTAGAGGTCTTCATAAAGATATTTCCCAAGGACATTTCACTGTTAAATGTTTATATAAAATGATAATACTATTTGCATCAGATAACAAAAGAGGAAAAATCATCTTGTTACATTTCTATTCTTAGAAATATAGTGATATTTATAATTTAAAGATGTAAAAGTTCAGAAAAAGAAACAAGAGCTAGTGAAGTAAATACAGCAGTTTGAATAAACATTAGGAAAAGAGGCAAAAATCATTCTAATTTAGGAAAAAAAGAAATATAGGGCTTATTTAAATGATCTTTAGAAAAATTTATCAAGGGATATGTGGGAACATAATTTCTTATCATACAGCAAAACAGGAGCAGAGAACCATCTCTGCTACCTTATTAATAAAAGTATATAAAGAGTTTAAAAATAATAGTAGAGATATAGGATAACTTGTTACATAAAAACCAATTAAACCATGAAATATAGGTACACATGTAATCAATCTCTTGAATATAAAAATGTGTCAGATGTGAAAGTGTCAGTTTACAGTGTGATAAAATTCTTTCACAAAAACCAAATGAGCCCTTATGGCTGCCAGCCCCCATTCAAAATATATCAGGACAAATAAGACACTAACCTTAATGCTACAGTCTGAGCAGTTCAAAACAGAATCTCTTAACCAAAGCACAGCATCTGGTGTCCAGATGCCAATAGACTGCGGAAGATCTGCTAAACAGCACTTAATAGCCTGAAAAGAAAATATGATGGAAAAGCAAACACACCATCATAAAATAGGTACTTATGAGTAATGTCAGTAGCATTTTCCTACAAGTCAGATATTGCCAAGATAGAGAGCAAGCAACAATAGCTCATGCTGACAGTCACAGCTCTCAGTTGGAGCATCTGCTATGTTCCTGGCTCTATTCCTATTACTTCTATTGTCTTTACTCCTGTTATGGGCCAGGGCTTGTACCAGGCACTCCAAATACTCTGTCTTCCACACTTCTGCATGACAGGTATGGTGACCCCATTTTATGGATGGCGAAATGGACTCAGAGAGACTAACTTGTGTGAGATAACAAAGTTGCGAAGACAGGGTTGGGACTTTAGGGTTATTTAGGCCTTCCCTCTAAGCCCAACTTAAAAAAAGAAAAAAAAAAGAAGTGTCATTTGGAGAAAATATGACTCCTGTTGCAAAAATCTTTTTGGAGGTCTAGGTGCTTCATTGAGCATTTCCTGAGTACCTCGGGGGTGCCAGGCTCAGCTTCTGAAGGAGGTTGTAAGGAGAATTAAGGAGGGTGAGAGAAAATGAAATCCACAGATCCCTAAAAGCTTCATGTCCCCAGTGCTCTTTGCCTGCCACCACCACTGCACACATTCTTCTGAAGGATGCTACAGCAGGCAGTGAAAGGTGGCCTCGGGGACTCCCTTACCTCAAGCAAGTCCTTGAATTGATGGAGGCAGTTTTGTGCAGGGGATGAAACCCACGCCCAGGATTCCTTCTTTCCTCTCTGAGCCTCTTCCTCCCTTGCCCCTCCTGCCTCAGGGGTGGCAGGCCTCTCACTGTGCCAGCTGGCTGTGGCACCTTTCTGGGTGGGAAAGAGTCACTCAGAGCAGAGAGTGCACTCCGAGAGCTGCAGGGGCTGAGCAGGCAATGGAGGAGCCAGGCGGAGCACGGCCCCACAAAGGGGAGGGCTCAGTACAGTCAGATGTCCCAATTTGTCAAGAGAAAAGCTCAAGGTAGCAATTTTTGTGTGAAATGTTTAAATTTTAAAATCCTGGCAACTGATTCACATTTTCAAAATACCGTAAGAGGCAAGAGCCAAAACTCAGTATTTACGGGTCATCTTCGGCTGACAGTCACCGGTTTGTTTGCTGCTCTGACTTGGACTCTTGGGAGATGCTGTTACCCAGATGCCTGGGCTAGCTGCCTTTAAGTTCCCCCAACCCATAGCCTTTACGTGTGTCAAGTCATGAACCCAGGTAAGATTAACGAAAAAATGTGTAGTGATTGTTAATGCTGTAGCATGAAGAAGGTACTACCGTGTAACTTTCAGACAGTCAGAGCAGTGGGACAGATCCTTCCTTCCCCTCCAGCCCAGGGGACCTTTTCTAGTAAGGCTGGCCCTGCACAGCTGTTCCAACAAGGGGATGTAGAGGCCAGAGGTGTTATTAAGTGACAGTGGCACTTAAAGGTCTAACAATTTCCAATATTATGGCCGAGCAGCAAGAGAGTAAAAATGATTTTGAAAACAGCTTCTCTGTAACAGTCATTGTTAGAAAAGCCAATGGTGATGGGAGTGAGAGAGATGCCCAAAGTCATGCTTATTACGGACAACTACCTTTTATTCACTGAGTTTGATGGCAGAAGGTATCTTCTGAAAAATATTAGTCAAGGGACAGTTTGAAATTATAGAATATTGAATAGTTTTTTTAAAGATATTAATTTCTGTACAAAGTCTTCTACTTCTAAAGGTGATAAGTAGTTCTGAACAATTAAAAATAATTCAAAATCTTTATCATTTCAATGTTCACTAATAAAGAAAGGATTGGCTGAAGTTAATTTTTTTATTAAAATGTATGGAAGGAAAGTCATTAAGAAAATGATTAAGGATAAACAGATTCCCAAAGAGAATGGTTACCTAATTAAACTACGAACTCTAGAAATAAACATATATAATATTCTAGAACTATGTAGAAGTCAGTAATGGCATCTAATTATTACAATGGAATCTCTAATTGGACAATACAGCCTCATGACTCAGACAATAACTGACAATAGAGTCTAATGACTCAGTGTACTTGAAAACAAACATTTATCAAACAATATTCTGTAAATATGACCGGTCTTCTTGTCTAAGTCAGTTAAGATTTACTTCTGAAAACAAGTAGACAACCACATTTGGACAATTTCCAGTTTCTTACAAACTAGGTCTTTGAACATTAATTAGATCAAAACTGAGAGGGCATCTCACATGATTATAAACACATCCAAATCTCTTCCAGCAAATCTCCCAGGCTGGTAACATTGTACCTGTGGTGGAATTGCAATAATTTCTTGCAGAAACCGAGGCGGAATTTCCCTGAGCTCTGACACTTTTACAGATGTCACAGTGCCAGAGTCCAGGAACTGAACATCAAGAGCCCTGCTGCTGTGAACATTGGTGATCTGAAATGAGATACATGTTGGCTTATTTATTAGCATACCCAAAAGACCTAAATGCTTCTGTGCAATTACATTTTATACAATTCTAAATTGCATATTGAAAGCAACAAATACTATTAGTGTTAATTAAGATTCTCCCTTAATTTAAGTGTATTTATTTACTTAATATTCTTTTAGACAATTGATTTCAACATCTAGTTGTTAATTCATTTAATCTGTAATAATCAGTAAGCTAATAATAATACTCAGTAAAATTCATAAGTACAGTAATATTTACTATTTTTCTAATTCTAGGACACAATTTATTATAAAATAGTTTGGTATGTTATTATATATTACTGGTTATAAGACGTAGTCTATTATCCAAAATGTTACAATGTAAGGAAAAAACTACTGTATCTTAGCAATGAGGAAATAAAAAACAGATAATTCAGAGACAGAATTTTACTGTGGGTCAATACTATATATTTTTAAATCATAATGTATTTTATAGCTTTATAAGGAAACCTAATAATTTATATTATTTGTCCCAACTCCAAAAAGTCAAAACTCAGAAAGTCATAAAGAGGTAAATTAAAGTCCAAATTAATCGTTCAAAAAATCAGAAAACTACACACAGAGTCAAAGTTAGATAATACACAATTTGATAATAATAAAAATAATACTAGATATCATCTAAAGTATTTGGAGATACACTGAGAATGCATTTTTGCCAAAAATGCATAACCTGAACTTAAACATGAAGACACTCAAATTGAGAGACACTGGCTGATCATACCAGCCTTCTGACATATGTTCACATTAATGACAATAATTACTTCAAAATTGCTGCTATCATTAGACATGACCAAGTTTTTATTTTTTATTTTTTATTTTTTGAGACAGAGCCTGGCTCTGTTGCCCTGGCTAGAGTGCCGTGGTGTCAGCCTAGCTCACAGTAACCTCAAACTCCTGGGCTCAAGCGATCCTCCTGCCTCAGCCTCCCGAATAGCTGGGACTACAGGCATGCGCCACCATG